GTGGAAGAGATAACAGATATTTTCATGCAATGGACCTGTTGTTGTTAGCTTTGGTTAGAAATGACAGAACTGTGGCTGGAAGGATTTTTGAGATCCCTGGTGCATCTGCTGCCCTAAGGTGGGACGAAAGATCTAGACTACAGTTGATATGTATTTATTGAACCTGTTTTTTGAAGCTTCTGGACAAAGAGTTTCCAAATCTCTGTTACATTTCTGTCATCCTTATTCCTGAAGTTTTAACTCAACTTTGTCCTAAGTTGTCCTGACTGTAAATTAAAGCAGTTGTGTTCAGTTATCTTTAAACTTTGATATGTGCTACTGGCTAAGTTGTTCAAATGCATAGTAGTCAATTTATCCTTTGTACAAGATGTAGTATTTGGGAGTGTCTCCCTGGCCATAGAATGTAAATTTTGTGGTTGTACTCATAACTGGGAACTTAACACTACACAAATCACACTACCCAAAACCTGTGGGTATTGTTAGCTACTGAGCTACTTTACCAAATTATGGACTTGGACACCTGAAACATCCTTCAGGACTGCTCATCCATGTAGCATGTGTAGCACGTTGTGTAATTTTCACCATTCTAAGGAGAAAGGTATTGCTTTTGACCATCAGTCTGGATGTTAAAAATAATTCTTCTTCCTCATTCCTGTGACAATCCTTATGAAATCCTATGATTTCCATAGCCAAATTATGCAGTGGGTCAGTAGTCCTATATGTTAGTTGCATAAATGTTAGTGTGGATATTCTTGAGAGTCCTTATAGTTATTGAAGTGAGATGTACCACAGGTCCAGAAATGGAGCTTGTTTGCCAGTATTGTGCACATATTGTTAGTGACTGAACTTTGAAAACAAAATGAGATTTGAAAATACCCTTCCTAAGCTGCCAAGCACTGTGAGGAACAGGCAGGTGGATAATTTGAAAACACGGGTCAAATTTTCAGCCAATGTAAACTGATTTAGCTCCAACTGAGGTGTGAAAAGAGAATTTGTTCCCACTGAAAAAGGTTCTTCTTCAGGCCACAGAATAATACAGATGTGTAAATGGTATGTTTCCTGCATACTGCCATGGAATTTGTACAATATATCATTTCTTCATTCTGCAATTCAAATTCCTACATGCCTGGATTAACCAAGGACTACAGAACTGTCCTGAAAATAAGTTCTCTATACCTCTTCACATTTCTGCTTTCCCTCAGTTCCACTGATTTTTACCACTGATAAAGTTTTTGCTCTCATGTATTTTTATATAGATAAAATTTGACAGCCCTTTTCTCTTCTGGCCTGTCTGTAACCCAGACACATCACCTTGTGAATCCCAGATACTTGTATACTGGCTGGTTTTAAACATTTGTGTATAATTTAATGGGGAATCTGTGACCAGCACCACTTACCAACATCCTTCATAAAACAAGGTACTTTAACTGTACAGAATAAGATATTTAAGAAAACTTGACTCAAATGCATTGTGCTTCCAAGAACCACTGCTTCATGCAGAATATGTAAAGTAGTCCCTGCTATTGTGTTCTTGAGTAGCCACTGGATGCAAACAAGAATGTCCTTTCAGAACAGAATATGATGTTCAATAGCTTTGGTGTTTGGCCTGGGACACCCAAGTGAAATTCACACACAGAAGAGCCCCACATTTTTCCAGATGGAGGCAGGTATCTAACTACAACATGCTGATGAAGGGACACTAAGGCTATGTGAGAAATCATGACACAACATTTCCCTTGCAACTCTCTGTGTGCCAATGGAACAGAGATCCTCTGGTAGAGAAGCACACACAGCCAGTATTGCTGCTGGGGAAAAGTGCCATTTGGCCCTTTCCCTAAATCTCTTTTTTTTTTGTACAAAGTAAACATTACCAGTAAGCCACAGGAGGTAAACAGGATCTGGAACACCATCAAATGCCTGTGGGGTGACTTCAAAGCTCTGACCCTGCTAGCAAGCCTTCTCATTTGAGATTTGAGAAAGCCTCCCACATCTTCATTCACAGAGCTGAAGTTTACTGTATATTTAAGATGTGGTTCATTTTTTCCTCCTGTATTTGTAAGCCAGAAACAGGATGTACCCATAAATATAGTCTCCCTTTGCTTTTGTGCTACATGGAGAAACAAAACTCTGGGTATTCATTTCTAAATTCAGACCTCAAGATAGCCCTTTTTTCTTCCTGCTCAGCTAGAGAACTGGGACTGAATTCTGTTCTCAGATATGAGTGTAAATCTATCATAACTCCACCAATACCTGTTCACTGAAGTTTTAATAGCTTATAAACACATTTTGTGTAATTGAAAAAAAAATTGTGTAGGCAGAATTAGGCCAGAATTAGACCATACTTGCTTTTGCAGTTGAGTTCAGCAGCAGCCAAAACATATCAACACTGTTTTAGCCAGAAATCCCAGAAGACCACCGTACAGGCTGCTGGGAACACAGTCAGCACCATCCCAGTCACACTCAGTGCACCCCAGTGCAGATATTGCATTAGTATATTCTGAAAATAATTGGCTTTCATCCATTTTCATCCATTATGGAATTCTGGATTGAGAAATACTTTCCCTCATCAGTCACCTCTGTATTGTATAGCAAGATTATTTCCCATTCATCAAGCAGAGGGCAGGGTGAGAAATTTTATACTTAGAACAATCTTCCTCCAAGGCCAAACACCTCATGGTCTCCAAGTACCACAGTTTTTCAGGCACATGTCAAACACCAGAGCACTGGAGAAGAATTTTCTTAGAAAGTTTCATAGTGATACTGAAAAAATCCTACCTTTTGCATTCATTATTATTTTCAGAATGACAGGTCAGAGAAATGAAAATGAAAGACAATCAAGCTCTTGGTGGTGGTAAATTAATGTGCTTGTAGTTCATGGAAGAAATACAACAGGCTATAGACAAGACGTGGCAGATGTTCAAAAGCATTGAGCGCCTAAGGCAACCTTCAAATCAGAGTTCAAAAAGCCATACAAATTAAATGCTTTGTTATTGCTGCCACACTTAACTACTTCCAAATTGAGGGCCTGGAGAGAGTATTTGAGGAGTGTGGGAAAAATCTCTGCAGATCTCCATGGCCAGCATCTGTATGGGGACTAGCTCAGGACATGAGCATGACCTGTGGGTTTCACTGCCTTCACGGCAGCCAGGAGCCTTCCCTCGTGGTGGTGTTTAGGCACTGGAGTCAGGGTTACTGGAGACATGTGGGAGGAAAGTGGGGGGTTCAGCACTGAGCTGTTTCTGGCTTGGGACATGGTGGCTGGGGACAGAGGCCTGCAAAACTTCCTGGAGTGTGGCCCCACCATCAGCCTTGTCATGTGGCTGAGGAGGAAAGGCATCATGCTGGACTTGTGATTTATACAGCACAACATCCAACTCTTTAGACAACCTCACTGCAATGGGAGTTTTCATGGCTAAGAGTGAAATAAGACTGAAAAAATAATTAAATAAGCTCCATTAAGTGTGTTCACTTGTTTGAGAGGAGCTCTAAACAGGAGAGGCCCACTGTAATTTTTCCAGCTGTCTTGCTGAAGCAATGTGGTGTTTTTTCTTGGGTCCAAGAATATAGGTACCAGGAAATGTCAGTGTCACTTGATAGCAATATCTTTTAAATGCCTTACTCCTTTCTACCACAGTATTGAGCTCTTTTCTTGCTTTGTGCAGAAAGAAGCAGAACCTGCTCTATGCTTAGGGACAAACATTGGCCAAAGTAGAGAACATTCTTGCTTGGATTGTGGAACAGGTGGTCAGCTCTGAACTCATAAGGAATTATGGGGGCAAAGCATTATTTTGGTCACCCCTGTAGCAGCATCTGCCTCAGATCCTTCTCCATTAAATTCCACAAAGAAAACTCTTCACCTGTGTACTCCAGCCAGCTCCACAGTCACTTTCATCTCCTCAATTATTTTTATTAGAAGGCTATATTCTGTATAAACACAGCCATGTATTCAATATCCTGGGTGTTTTTCAAGAACTGCTACATGATTTAGAAGCACTGACCAAGCTTCATACACTGTGGTTCACTGAAATACTGGATGTGGATTTTTCCAACACCATGGGAAGTTAGACTGGCATGGGAGCATAGCTGAGGTTGTCAGTTCTGTGTATTTGCTGCTGTACTCAAGCTAGGGGTCTGATTTCCCATACCCTAGGCATAGCCCACATGTTTCAGAAGTGTGGGGAGCTTGAGGCATCAATGGTTATGGCTTGAAATCTACGTGAGCCTCCTGAGGCTTTTGTTGAACTCCACAGTCATTGTCAGGCTGCACCTCTGAAGGTTTGCACCAGGTAACTAGCAAATAAGGCAGCAAGGTGGAGTTGTTCATGTCTGGGGTACAAGAGATGCACCAAAGCCCCCCGGGCATGTCTTCCAGGCTCCTCCATATTCATCATCATTCACAGGCAAGAAAATGGCTCCACGCTGCCACTGCACTCATCCTGCAGCCCTGGAGGCAGCTCTGCACCACAAACAGCAGTCAGGTTTTTTCACAGTGTTTCCTCCTGGTGTCTGGAGGATGGCTGTGGGCTGAGCAATGCCTGGATTTTAGGCCAACAGGCATCATGCTCAGCCCTGCTCTGGGCAGAATGTCACATTTCTCATAGCAGCTGAACCCCAGCAAGCAAAACACAGCCAAGTCCCCACTAGATAACATGCAATGATTGCATTAATAGAATCTGAAAATATGATTTAGGGGACTTTTCCTGTTATGAAACTCTAGTTTGAGAAGGTCTTTCCCCAGGGTGGTTGTTCGACTACAATTTAGCAAGATGATTCCTCTGGCCAGCTGGGGCCAGCTGAGGGCTGTGGAAAAGGCAGGACTGGTCATTGCTGGGACTGCTTCGTGCTGATAGATTTTACAGAGGAGTGAAGTGAGTGTCAGCAGAGTGAGCTGCAGTGGGGGTCTCTTGGTCTGCTGGGGTGTGAGCAGAGGCAGAGCAGCAGCTGGTGCTGTGAGCTTTCAGGCTGTGCCAAAAGCTACCTGCACCAGGCATTGCACAAGAAATAAGGCATCCATCAAGATTTGTGAGAGGTCCTTTGGGAGTGCTTTTCCAGCATGTTTAAAACTGTCAGTAAGTGTATGGAAAAGCAGGACTCTGTTTCCAAACTGTAGCACTCAAGTGAGGGAGGATTGCAAAATAATCTTGGAGGTGTGTAGGTGGCAGTGCTTTTACACAAAAGCTGTGACTCGCCATCCCATAACTTAAAATATCAAATTTCATGCCCAAGGATTCAGATGGAAAAGCTGCACAGCAGCACTCTCTGAAGAGCTGAAAAGAAGCTCACAGCTGACCTACTTCATTCACCGTGTTCTTTTCTAGGCAGATATTAATAAAGTGGAGAAAAATTCATGCTATCAGAAAAATATAGACAAAAATTCTTCCATAGCATTCTAGTTAGGATAGACACCCATATACAGATATTTTTTTCCTCTGTTACTGGATTAAAATAGGAATGGCACCAGACCCTGGAAACCAGAAGTCATCTCTAATGTAGTTATTGAACTGCAAAGTTATCTGTCCTGGAATTCTCTACTTGTGCCTTTAAGCTGCACTCCTTCATGCAAGGCTTCAAAAGGAGGGTGGGCAGTTTTGCCCTGCAGCCTATGCTAAAGCCTGGGGCCTGAGAGCACTTGGTGCATTCTCTTGAGAGCTGCAGGCCTGAATTCCAGCAAGGATATGGGATACAGGCCCTTCACCTCCTGAGCCACATGAATTTCTCCACTACAGAAGTGCTATTTTGGATGAAGAAAAACAGAACAACAAAAAAAGACTCATTGTAATGGAATTTTTCAGGAGCCCTATTTGAACAGTTTTCACAATGTTTTGGATCCATTCACTAGGTGTTATCCAGGAATTTAGACCTCATCCTACCTTGCTCTTGAATTTCAACATGGGCAAAGCATTTAATTGCCCACATCGAGATAGTGCAGAGCAAGCAAAGGAAAATGCTAGCTGCTAGAAAATCTACAAAAGGAGAAAACAAAATGCGTACAAATTTTGGATGAGGGAATTTCTTTCAGAAGGCTTTTTTGGATGTACAAGTTTAAAGCCAGTCTATGATATATTTAGGAGAGACACATCGTTATTTTAGCATGTCTATTCCTTTCTGAAGCCATATATAATTCTGTGCATTAAACATGTTATTCTCTTATTCTCCATTATATATATATTTTAAAAGCACATTACAAATGTTAATTTGTTAAACCTCATTCCTCTGAGGAAGACATCACTTATGTTAAACCAGTAAACTACCAGTAATGTCTCCCTACCAGCTGGAAAGTTTAATTTTTTTCCCCACAAACAGTCCCAGGTAATGTTTAACTGTGATTTCCATGATCTATACTGCACTTTAAAAAACCTTTCCTCATTTGTCAAAGCATGGAGAGAGATCTGTCTTCTCAGATTTGCATCTCAGAACTTTTAAATTCACCACACAGCATCATAGAAAAAGCAAAACACATTTCTTGGAAGTTCACTGCTACAGCGTTCCATATCAGTAACTTCAGTGGGATGCTTTTAGACCATTTCCTTCCTATTCTTTGAGACTTTGAGATAAATAATTTGATTTATCCCCACATAAAAGACAGCCTTATATACTGTGTAAATAATTTTTAGGATTACATGGTTTTTTTATCCTTTTCCTGCAGACACCGTGCATACAAAATTCTCTTTCAGACTTAGGAGAGCTTTTCCAGACAGGTGGTGGAGTCTCCATCTTCAGAGATGCCCAAAAGGCATCCAAGACTTGGTCTTGGGCAACCAGCTGTAGATGGCCCTGCTCATGCAGAGGAGGTGGACCAGATGATCTCCAGAGGTCCTTCCCCATCTCAATCCTATTGTCACCATGAGCACATGCGCACATTAAGGAAACAAAATGTTATTCATATCCAGTGACCTTAAGGTAAAATTTACTCATATTCTGGATTCAGATCAATATTTACAATTCAAGAAGCCTAGTGGCAGAGTATCCAATTCATAGATTCTAAACAAAACGGTCTGCAGTGATTATTTTGAAGTACAAACTAGCTGTCAAAGGAATAAAAAAACATTTGGGAGAAAAATACAATTTCTGCTTTTCATCCAGGTGTTCCGCACAGTGTTAGAACATGGCCCTGCTTTAAGGTGAACAGAGTTTGCCAAAGAAAACGATAGTATTGGTAGGATTGTGTCTAATAAAGAACAAGAAAGGATGATTAGCCATGAACACCTCTGTGAGAGGCAGAGACCTCCTCACAATGGAAGCTCCCGTGCCAGCCGCTGCCTCGGTGCCTTCCTCATTGACTTCCACATAGGCTTTGTGGACAACATTTGACAGCACCAGAGATTTTGCAGAGGTCATTGCAGACAGGTCAACTTTTGATTCAGTGAAGATGTCGGTCATCCCCATCTCTTGCAAAACCTCGTTGAGGTTAAAGGTGGCTTCCAGCTTGAATCGGGGCAGGTAAACCTCCACTGTTGTCTCAAACATGTTCTCTGAGGAGGCCCACAGCAATAAATTTTCATAGGTGATTCTGCTTTCAACCTATAAGATGGGGGGGAAAGGAGATTGAAACAGGTGGGAAGCTTCGAAAAACTGAGATCTTTACCAGTGTTAATTCAGACAACTGGCTTCCAACCCTAGTCTGTGACATGTACTGCCTTACCTGCTCCAGCCCACTGACAGAACCATCAGCCACATCACCTGGCAGCAGGATGATCATGCTCAGTGACTTCTGGGCATAAGGGAGTTCAAGGATCTGAGCACCCACCTCCTCAAGATAGCCCAGTTTAAATTTTCCTTTCTGATACATCATCTGCACAGGTTTCTTTCTGCCCTATTGAAAGGAAAATGACACAGTCAGTTAGGCAATATAGCTCTTGCCAACACCTCTACCCAACAGGGGAGGCAAGTTAAGTTCCCAACACACTCACAGCTTACTCACAGGGCAGCCCAGCCCTGGACATTGTTTTGCTTTCTGCAATGCTCACAGTATCTAAGGTGAATAATGTTAAGATTTACAGAAGGCAGATGTACCTGATTCAGTTTAAAATCCCTCTGAACAGTTTTTTCTTCTTCAAACTTGTGTTCCCAGGATGCTTTGAAGTAGATTACATTCACAAGCACCAGCAATGCATGTACATCAATCACACCAGGTGCAAAGAGTTCCTTGATTTTACCTGAAGGGAATTTTGAAACACAGAAGTATTTGTTAGCTGTCATTAAGACTCTGGACTGAAACTCTATTACCAGTCTGTGAACTCAGTTTTGGAAAAAACTTAGAAACAGAGTTCTCAGTTTATTTGCAGGATAGAAACAATATAGGTAAACAAATGGTAGATTCCCCTGCCCTGTTACCAGCCAGGGAGGATGGGCGAACTGGGGGTCACCAAATTATCCCCTGGTGTTTTGAATATGGATTTATGGCTGTTTGCAGGAGCAATTTGTCTGGTCAAGACTGATAGGTATTACTGCAATTACCAGGCATAAGGGTGGGAATAAAAAATATTTTGCAGTAAACATCTTTAACTCATAAATAATTTAGCTGGTAACTTCCTCTAATATTTCAAGAGCGGATGGGAAGACAAACTACCCTTGGACAGCCTAAGAGTGAACACACAGAAATGTGAACAGGTCTTTGCTTTTCCTACCGTGGAATATCATTTGTTGAACCCATGTAGGAAGGCAGTGATAGAATGGCTGTGGTTTTGCTTTGTTTTACCTTGTGTCTCACTTTCAACCCAAGCATTAATTTTTCTTCTGGCAGCTTCAACAGCACCATGAAAGTTCACTGTTTCCAACATTGCTCCATACAGTTCCTTGCTACACATCAGAAATTGCTGTAAAGCAAAATAAAGATTATGAATTAGTCAAATCTATTAACCACTTACTGCCTTTTGAAAGAAATTGCTCAATAGTATTTTAGAAATTGTGAGGGTCCTGTTGAATGCATAAGGCAAAATTTCGTTTTGGAAATGTCAAGTATCTGAAGTTTATTCAGAGGATCTTTGAAGAGATAATTATTCTAATACATAGATCAAAAATGTAAATAAGTAAAAAGAAAACCAGAAGAAGGAGACTTGTCACGGAGAGCCACATAACTGAGGTTCAGATAAAAAAAATTAAAGAAACAGAAAAAATGCAAGATGATTGATGTTTAAGCATTGAAATAATTGAGAGAAATAATTGTCAGAAAAGCAGATGTGACTAACAAGTTAGCCATACCAAGTAGTCTCAAGACAGCTCAGTCATTCTGTAGGAAAGGAGCAAGAAGTTCAGCAGAGCAGTCCTGTGCATGAACCTGTACAACCTTCCTGTCCAAGCTTACTGCTGTCCCACTTGCAAGACCTGAAGTAGGTAGTTTCAGACAGCTTGAATATGCCATTTTTGGCTCGACGTTCTCCTCTGGCTGAGTGCACACATTTGCAAAAAATTAACAGATCCTTGCTTTAATTTTGCTCTATAAGCTTTGATATCCACAGGGTGGTTTGTTTGTGGGTTTGGGGTTTTTTTTTAATAAAAGCATGGTAAGTTGACAGTCTTGTCTCTTACCCACCAGCCTCAAGAGCTATAGCTCCATGTAGGACATCATGTGCTCCAAAACACACACAAGAGGGGCAACAGTGAGCCTCACAGTTACAGGGAAGCTTGAGGTCATGGCCACAGCAGTTAGCAGGTGACTTACCTGCTGGAGTTCAAATCCTTGTTGTATAAAGAGGTTGTTGGCCAAGGTTAAAACATATTTGTCACTGAGGTTTTGTAGTTGTAAAAGCAGCTCCTGGAACACTTTATGGTTAAGGTCTCCCTCCTTGTTACACTGGGAGTAACACAAAGAGAACAATTAAAATTATTCCCCTGAACAGCTTTGGTTGTTAATTTGCATCCTAATTAGAAAACATTATAAGGCTAAATTCTGCTGTAATGATTTTTAAATCTAGCTAGTCCAAGGTTTATAGCCTGACCCTCCTTCAGATGAGATCACTAAAGGCTTTGGTGTTGACTTCCTGGCCCCAAATAAAATAAAACCTTGTGTAAAACCAGTCATTTCCTAGAGGATTAGGCAGACTCCGAGCATGTGATCTTGCCTCCCTCCAGTGGCAAGCCCTAGTGTTTTACCAGCACTAACCTAGCATGCAGTGAAGGCAGGGCTCCCCACCCAAGGACACACCTCTGAGAAGGAAGGCTGACTCTCCAGGCTTCCTTCTGGCTCCATTTCTGCGGCTGCACTCTCGTGATCATATCCAAGACTCATTCTTCCTCCAGCTTTCCTGACATGGAGCACCTGCAGGTGAAGATGTCAAGTTATGTCAATTGTAACTGGGATAAAAGCATATTCCTTGTTCAAAAGCTTTGCTGTGCTCTACTGGATGAGTGGTGTAGATTCACAAAATGTGTATTATCAGCTGAAATGACAGACTTGAACTTGTTCATACATTCATGTTCAGATTCATTTTGCTATATTAACAAACCAGAAAGAACTTGCACCTAATCCCTTAAAATTTTACTCTTCACTCACTGCCTTAAAATGTTTATATTTGATTTGTGTTTTCATTGCTATATTTGATTTGTGGTTTTATTGTTACAGTTAATTTCAAAACAAAAAAGTTGCCCAAAGCAAAGAGACAGAAATTCATTTTCTTTTAAAACATCAAAACTGGCTTCTTGCAATAATTTTTAACATTAGCATCAGCTTAAGAAATAGATCAAAACCACAGTGCTCTTAATGGAAACCAGTCCTTTTTTCTACTGTGCAAGTACATCACTGAAATATTTTTGTCAGCTTTTCTATTAGAATAATGTTGCATCATACACAGACTTACACTTGTTTTATAGAGAATACTGATATGGAGAAATTCCCATTGCTTTCCTAAAATAAGCAGGAGTCCCTGTCTAAAGGATTGATGTAGCAGGGTTATGGAAGCCAGGTGGCTGCAGGGGTGGTCTCTGTGCAAAGAGAACAGACTCCAAGAGAGTGTCTGGGTGGGCACCTGGCAGCCACAGCAAAGATCAACCCACCACACCCTGGTGAGAAGCTCTGCCTAACGATTACTGATCTTGTACCATTCATGGTAGAGAGAAGAAAGAAAAATAGAAAAGAGAAGAAAGGTTGTAGAAAGCAGAACTTGCACTGCAGGAAGTAAAGGCACAGTGACCGGAGGGGTGACCTTCTTCACCTCCTCCTTGCCCACCTGGGTCTCTGTGGGGTGAGACATTTTGACTCTTAAATGTCATAAGGGAAAAGTGAGCTAATGCTTTCAGCCACCCAGGGGCAACCCCTTCAGGTGTCTGCAGCTCTCCCCACTGCCCACCCAAATTGCCACCCTCAGGATTCTCACAGCAACCACAAGAGGAAACACCAGCCCATTATTCTGAAATAAAGCCTGATATTCTGCCAGCAGGCTTGAGGAAAGCCTGAGCGCCCCCACTGTGCTGAATCACCTCCCCTCAGTCAGCCCTTGCTCTGTGCTCTTGCAGGGGGTGTGATGAGACTGGCACCAGCAGATGGCAGGGATCACAGCACAGCTGTGAAGGCAGCACCTGTGCCTGCCCCTGTGCAGGTTTCCTGTGAGACACTCACCTGTGCCACGCTGGGATGGCCAATATTTCCATTAAGGGAACAGCAAGCAACGTGGAAGCAGCTCACCGTGGTTCATTCATACTCACTTTTTCTATCTGAGCAGCAGTGTTGTTTTTTGCACCAAGATGGATCAGGGCCAGGGCAACAGAGATGCTCATTGGAGAGAAGACAATATTTGTGTCCTCTGCACTTCTGTTGAGCTTTTTGTAGAGATCAAGGCAAAACTCAGTAACTGGTCTAGAAATGGAGTCCATCATGAAGCAGCTGCAGAGTGAGAGCACAAAGGAATTAAGAAATGAAATGCAGCTGTCCTAGCTAGACCACACTGAAGCATGTCTGCCCTGAGATAGTCCTGTAGCTGCTTGTTGAACATAACAGACATTTCCTACATCCTGCAAGTTCTAATCAGCCTTGCACAGATCAGTCTATGGTGCAGGAGCAACGACACAGAGGGTCTGCAAAAGGGACCCATGTTCACAACATACGTACATTTCTCAGAAAGGACCCTTTTTCTGCCTTATCCCATGCTGTGTCTTATTTCAACTTGTGGTATTAGAATTAGACGCGTATGGACTAATATTTTCCTTCTGCAAACTGGTTTGATGCATACACTTGCATCAACTCCTTCCTCTTAACAGCACACATTAGTGATAGAGACTTGATGACAGAAGCTAAGCCTGCATTTAACTATCTGTGGTAACCAGAGCTGTGGCAAGGGGGTTTCAAACAATAAAATCACTATTAATTGTCTTCATACTTGAAAAAGGGTCATTAACAGCTATGGAGACTGAACTACATATGGAAACACTAACAATTTGAAGTACACTTTGAACTTCTCATAAGATTTCCAGGAGTCAAAGATTGAGGCAGGATGCACAGTTTAAAACTCCAGACAAAGTAATAGCCCAAGAGCCCTGAGAAGTCTGTGAGTTCCTGCTCAGTGATATGACAAGGTATGTCACTCCCTACTTTTGTACTAGAAACATTACAGTCTGATATCTCTCCCACAGGTCATTTACGTTCAATCCAGTCCACTAAGAACAAGTTAGGACCAAGTTCAGCTTGGTCCTTGCAAGGAGGAGGCCATCTGAAAAGCAGGAGATTAGAAACAACCTGAATCTTAGGAGAATTGTAAAGGTGTTATTTAGAACACACCTGTGGGATCACACAAAATTTTCTGGAATCATTATACAAAAAAACAAACAAACAAACAAAACAACAACAACAAAAAGATAAAAACTCACTCCACATCATCATCTTCAGTATCAAGCAAATATTTTGGACAAATAGCACTGGTCTGTGTTCCAGAAAAATTATTTGTTTAGGGGAAAATACACAGCCACAGCATGGAGACAGTCTCCTGTCAGACAGATCTGGCTGTCTCTATACCTGCACTGGGACCAGCATGGGTCAGGTCCAGAGAAAGCTGTCAGAGTTGCTCTCTTTTGGAAAAAGGAGTGAGTGCACAGCCAAGTGGCTCTCCCCAGTGCCCACAGATGGCCACAGCACAGCAAGCACCTTTCCTCAGCCCTGTCTGCTCTGAAGCTGAAGCCTGCAAAGTGAGGTTACATGAGGAGCTCCAGTCTGTGTCACCAGAGATTAAAGGTGGGAAGAGGCTGGTACAAAGCTGAACTTCAGGAACTTTTATCAGAAAAGGACTTGAGCAGCCTGACCTGGGCTGTTGGTATTCCTTTGAGGCTTGTCTTGAGCCCTCTGGAGAAGGGGTTTCCTGGTGCTGGAGACCTGCAACCCATTCCAGCCAAAACTCTCCTGTCAGCCTCCCAGTGAGGCCCCAGTTCTACCACAGCTCCCTCTCTTCACAGAGATGCTGACCTTCACAGAGTTTTCTTTATGCAAAGAGCTACTCAAAATGCTTTGCAGTGTTCTCAAGATGCAGCATGCACACTATCTCCTGCTCAGCCATGAGCCAGGCTTTGCATGGAAAGCTGGGACTCAGCTGCCAGAAGTTACCAGGGCATTGAGAGTTGATATGGTTCAGCCAAGATGCAGCATTTGTCTGTGAAACATCCTCACCTGCAGCAAGTGCCAGACAATGGGAATGAACTCAGCCCACAGGAAAACAGACTGAGCCTAAAACAAACTGCTGCAGATGCTTGGAAGAGATGAAAAAATAAAGTTTCTGAATATATGAAAGTACAATATGTGGTAAATGCAGACATTTATTGCCACTTGACTAACTTGAAAAGCACAGCAACAATCAATACTTCATCCTGTTTCTGAGTGATTGAGTGATGCTCTGTGGAAAGAACCTGTGATGCTGAAAGAAAAGTTCACAGATGTTTCATACTGAGACTTCTGTTTTGCCCTGGAGTCCAGAAGTACTTCACATAAAGACCTAATGCAAATGGACAAAACAGATGAGAAATATCCAAAGGGTTCTTAGCACAGACAAATTAAAGATGAGTTTTATCTCATTAATTCTGAACACAGCTGTTTTATCTCTGCTATTAGTGTCTTTCTATGTAATACAGTTTTAATTTTCTTTTTAATAATGCAGTCACCATACCACAAGACATTGCACTAAATAATTTCTCTTTTCTTCCACATTCATATCCTTCTATCCACAACCTTCTGAAAACAAAACTCCGTGCATCTTCCATGCTGAAGTTTGTAGTGCTATACTTCCACATCTCTTGCAAGATCTGAAATGGAGCTATGAAATCAGTGAATGTAGGGCATGAGGCACTTTGTAGGTGTGTCTACCTTCAACTTCAGAAAGAGTCAAGGAGAAAAAAAAAGCTAATAATCTTACTCAGTAGGAAGAAGGCAGCTCCACCCCACCCTGCAGTGAAAGGGCTGAGCGCCAAGGATGGGGGGAGAGCCCAGGCTCTGGGAACAGGTTTTAAAGCGAGTGTCTGGCACGCTAATGTGGCCACTCCCTTAGCAAAAGCAACAAGCTGTCACCAGAGAGATAGCCAGGTGCAAACACTATCGCCAACTCCATGGTTTTGTGAGTGGGAACTACTTAGAGAGCAGCTCTAGAAATCCAGAGGAAGGGAGGGCAGGTATGGGCTAGGGGAGGAACTTTCTTACTGCACAATGAAAAGATTTAGTGAACTTTCTTAATCTAAAGCAGGGTGGGAACAAGTATATGAATGATTCCACACCACAAAGCATTCTGTGTAATAGTTCTATCAGACTTTTGGAGCTACTGCAAGGAGCACAGCGTTTGGAGAACATCTGCACGGTGGACAGCAAATGGTAATGTCACTTTTAAATGATCTTGGAGTGGTAAGGAGGGATGATACAGGATTAAAAGAAGTGTTCCAGGAAGTTCCTAGCTGCTGCTCTGCACTAGCCAAAGCGCCTGCACTGAGCATTATTATTAGTGCAGAGCCTCTGATGACAGGAGATCCTTTGCATGATGGTTCAGCAGTTTTTAACATAGCCTGGCAAATTAAATTACTGCCACTGCAGTATGTGAGCAAGAAGCTACCCAGGAAAACAACTTCCTCCAGAAGAAACCACTGCATACCACAGACCTCGTAAAAATTGCAAATTTCCTCCATGGCTGTGTGAAATGATGAACACTTCTTTTCTATAACTATTCATGATCTGCTCTCTCTTTATAGTTTGTTTTTGGCTAAGGTTAGATGAAATCAAAACAAAAACTATCAAAGAATAAAGAAACCTGTGCTGAAAGCTGCCATAATTAATGGTTGTATTAGATTATATTATTCAGTCAACAGGAGGAGGCAGAAAATAGGGTGGAGAAGGTAAGAGACCTGTATCCTTGCTGTTAAGGTAATTCTGTAATTCATACAAGTTAAGTAAGAAGGAACCTGTCTTGCCTGATGCCACATGATAATTCCCAGTGCATGTTTTACTTGTTCAATCTGCATCCCATTAAGGTGCCTTAATACACATTAATTTCTCATGCACAGAGGAGAATAGAATTGGCAGAAATTACATGGTCTATCCTAGAAATAGACAATATGACACATAGTGCTGTCTCCTCACATGAAAACTGGTAGAAATGACTTCCTTATTTTTCATGACCATTCTACAAAAATACATTTCCAAGTATTTCTGTGCAGATTTGGAGTGAAATGGACAAACAGCACATAAGAAAAATTAAATTTCCTACAACACAGCAATTCTGACCATCCCTAAGTGGCACAACACATGCTTTAAATTAAAAAACAATACATTTCAGTACAAAGCATCTTTTCGAGCGAGATGGTGCCAAGTTCATTTTCCAAACAATCTAGCCTCTCAGGAGGCTACTTTTATGCCAGGAAGCTTTTTCATGACTTCTTTTGTTAGTTTGCATCAGCCCCTCTGGTCTTTCTAGGCCAGTTATTTCTGCATAAACTGACATGGATATGCATTGGCCTGTTACAGGTTGTATGGTGGCAAGTTACTTGCTGTGCCTCAGTGCAGCTGCACAGGCTTCTCTGCAAGCTTCTAAACAGCATTGCCAAACCCAGGAGCTCGTATTTTAATAGCAAAGACTAGCACCCCCACTAACAAAACAAAATCTGAATACCACTCCACCCTTTCTCTTTTATAGCATCATTGTTTAAGAACATAAACAACTTCCCTGATGGTGGGGATCAGTATAAAGGGGAAAAGCCTTAGGACCCAGTCAAAGAACTGCATGCCCTCTCCCTTGTCCAGAGAACATTTCTAGGCTTTTTCTTATGCCATGGAAATGTGAGTAAAGAAGGAAAATTATCCTGTGTTTCTCATGCTGTGGGTCAGGTTGCCCAGGTCACCAGCACCATCACTTTGTATTAAGCCTGTTTCTATCAGAGTGAGTAGAGGTGCTTGGAAAGAGCCTGTCCTTCAGCCCTTCTGGAGATACAGGCAGAATAAGCATCTACTTTCTCTAACAAGCCCCTGAGCTCATCAGTCTTGTGGCAATTAGACTTTACTGGGTGGACAGAGAGGTTTTGGGGAAATTTCAGGTTCAGAAGCCTGTGAAATTTAGGCAAGAATCTTTAGATGTGTCTCTAAAATCCACATTCATGTCCCACTGAAGACCAGCTCCCTTTGTGTGAGTTCTTGAGACACCTGAATTTTAGCAGTGTTTTGTTGCCTGCAGCCTATAAATTTATCTCTCTCTGCCCAATATGTAAAAATGATGTTTACTTTAGCAGCCTGTAGAGTACTTTGGATCAGGAAAAAAAAAAAATCCCAGCTATTTTGGGAATAAAAAAAGAAAACGACAAAACAACATAGAATTTTTACCTTCTTACCTGAAGAGGTTAAATGAAGAAGACAACAGCTGAGTTCTGGAACACGTTCCTGTGAATACTGTATTAAAAAAAAATCTCCCACTCTCCTGTGGGAAAGTTCAGCCTCTAGCCAATGATTGCTGATAGCAGCATCTTGCTGTTTAGTGCAAATGCCATTACCATGAAGTTTCCCCACAGAAGAATGGGAAACCTATATCTAGCAATATGCTATTAGCATTTCCCTCAAGCTGCCCAACAAGTCTGGCAGGCAATATCTGCTGGCAACATGCCCTGATTGCAATGCCAAGTCACTCTCAGCTGGAACACCGGTCATTAACCCTAAGAAGACTCATGACTGCACTTGTGAAAGGGACTGCTGTGCTTAGTCCCTTTCAAATTTTGATGGGGTCTGGCCTGGACAAAGGTGTGTGAAGGGTTCATGCCAAGATCATTTGGAGCTGAGCTTGCTTGCAAAGATAGAGAAAATGAATAGGAAATACATGAGTTTTATGTTGCCTGCAGCCATCTCTTCCTCTCAGGTAAGGAGTTGGCTTTATGTGCATGGAAGGAGCTTAATTAGAGAAGGGAAGAAATATTTCCTTGAACTGTAACAGGAATCCCCAGCCAGGGGGTATTCTTTTAAATCTCTGAGTTAAGAATAAAAGAAGGCCAGGAGTGGTTGATCACTGAGGTGAAGTCTCCAGTACAGAGTGAGAAGGAAGTAAAGAGATGGGAATCACTGAGCTGCACTAGCACAGTGTTTGATCTCTAATCAGTACCACTGAACACAGGTGCAGCACTGGGTTATGGCAGCTGGACTCAGAGATGAGAGCTAAACCAGGGTTGTATGTGGCTTTGCAACACTGAAAATTTGATTCCTTTTCTTTCTCGCTTCTTATTTCCTACAAAGCATAAAATTTGCTTTGGATTCATAGGATATTTATGGGATCAAACATAGTAAGCTGGAAAGAGGAAGAAGGTCCCCCAGCACCATCTTTCCCTTCCCTTGCTTTCCTTCTAGTGCTGAAGCTGAACCATCCTCTTCTTTAGGCACAGCACCATCCAAGCTTTGCTGCTCCCCACTCCTCTGCCAAGGTCTCAGCCCAGCTGGCCGAGCTCCAGTGCTCCAGTACCCATCTGAAAACAGGAATCCATAAGCAATGCAAGACACAAGGATAAAATGGCCATTCTCATAACCTCTGTTCTTTTCTTTCCTTTTTGGCTTCCATTTGCCAATCACTTTCTTGTTTCTTTTTTTTCTTCTTGCATGTTCCTGTAGTGCCCTCTAGTCTTCCTCATTTCTTTTTTTCTTGCTTTCTTTCTTGCTTTCTCACTTTCTCTCTCTCGCTTTCTTTATCTCTTTCTTTCTTCTTTCCTTTCTTCCTTCTTTCTTTCCTTTTCTCTCTTCCTTTCTTCCCCTTTCTTCCTTTCTTTCTTTTCTTTTAAAATTTATTTGTGAATGTTGCCTTACCATGTATCTTCTGATACTTTTCTAGTCCAAGCTTCTTTTCATTGACAACCTAAGTATTTTTGAGTTTGTTGCAAGACTTTCCTTCTTCCAATTTGTGTGCTTTCTCCCTTCCTCTTATACTGACATCATTCCTCCACTGATTTATTTTGTTTGCTCTGTCATAGTGCAAGCAGAGCTTCTCTGACATCCACTTAACTGCTTTGCCTCAGGAAATGTCAATGTAGGTGCAAATTCAGTCTTCTCTGGGCCCTTAGGACAGTATATTCACACAAATGTACTGCTTTTCCAGTGGGGCAAATTTGCCCTAAGTTGCATTTTTCAACTTTCAGAACTTCCCCACAAACCACTTTTGCTACCACAAGACATTAAGACGTGTCCCTTCTCAGGCAAATGCCGGGAGTAAGGAGCGGGCAGTGAGTGTGCAGGTGAGCAAGCGATGAGGTGAGCAGGCACACAGCCCTGCAGTTTGCAACTGCCTGCCAAAGCCAGCCACAGCCTGCTGCTTTCCATCAGGGGCATCATCCATCACTGGGTAGGAATGCCCTGTTGAAAGGTGAGGTGGAGCACCCGGTCGATCTGAGCAAGCCCTCAGCTATGCTCACTCCACTGTGTGCAGCACCTTCCAGCACACAGGAGCTCCTACACACCAACTCCCACACACGTTTTCCCATGACTTCCCAGGCAATTTCTTGCCCAATTTCTGTCCCAGAGGCCAGCAGTGGGTAGAAGTAGACTGTGACATGGTTTCTCACAGCAGCAGGAGCCTCGTGGGTATTTCTTCCTCATGTGCTGCGAGGTGGAAAAACTTCACACTGGGACTGGCAGAGAGAAGAGGCAGAAGTGAGAAATGAGCCTGAGGTTTTCATAGGCAAGACACCCTGTTCATAAATGACCAATAAATGAGTTTGCTTTATGTGGGCCGAGACAGCTTTGTATCTCTAATATCTGCTTGCCTTGCACAGGCTGGGATACCTTGGAATTAGTCAGGAGGTGGAGAAAGATGGGCCCCACCCTGAAGCAGTGTTTCTCTCTGCTTTCATGGGATAACCCTTCCTGGCCAAGCTATCACAAGGAGAAGAATGCTACCATAAATTTGTGGGGATATGCCAAATGCTCTGATCAGCATTTAAACAGACTACAGCCTCCATTAAATGAAGACTGGCTCCTGAACTGGAATGTTTTCAGAACCTGAAAAAGTTGAGAAAGTGATGTCTGAGCATTTCTCCTTTAGGAAATCTCATCCAGGAAGGAAAAAAGGGTTGGTACAATCTGCCAGAGGTTTTCATCAGTCTAGCAGACCAGCAGAGCTGTAGCAGTAAGTGTGAAATGTCCCGCTGGACAACTGGAACCACCTGACAAAGAGTCAGTGCCCAAACACAAAGCGTACTAAAGGCTAAAGGCAACCAGTGCCTCTTCTCTAAGCATGGGCTGCCTGTGCAGCTGCTCAGTCATCAACCCCATGCACAATCTCCTCACCCACCTCCCACAGGAGAACGAGTAGAAGCCACAGTGACAACAGCCCTGCGTACATCTGGCCCCAGCCTCCAATGATGGGGTGTATCAATCATTACCAGTCATTCAGGTGTCACTGAAGTTCAGCCAGTAAAGATCTTTGCACCTAAGTCCTTCTCAGACAGGATGGGCTCACATTAATTGTTGTATTTTTCATTTTTCTGACCACTATCCTTGTCTCAAAACATCTGATGGTTATCAGCAAAGCCCTCCAGAGATCTGCAGGGTCTCACCTCCCATTGTTTTTGTTCAAAGTTTGACTCTTCGGTACCCTCAAAGATATGGGCCAAAGACCCCAGTTAACTCTCTGATATTAAAATGCATTAGAAACCATTAAAGGCCCTCCAAGGGGACTACTGAATTATTGTGACTAAAGGCTTCTCATGGGTTGTTAAGTTCAAGAATCAAAACAGAACACCTGTCTCTAAACTCACAGTAACCAGTGCTCTGATGTTGAAAGTATGCATATTAGGGGTTGTTGCATATTCTCATTTAGAGACCTCTTTCCAGTTTCTTTCAGACCTGAGGCACCAAGAGGATTTCTCAAGTAAAATGCTTCTATCTTTTTAGAATACATAATTGAATTCTGCATGTATCCTGACCACCTAGTAACATAATCCTTAGTGGGAACTATCATCATATGGCTCAGAAGGGCAATCCAGACATTCACTTAGTTGCTTTTTTTGTTATTTTGACTTTGTGGCCTAAGTGAATCTGCTTATTTCCATTCCTATAATTTATTGGAAGTCAGTCATGAACACTGACACTCTCAATGAACACACAGACTGACACTAGAGGTATTGTACATTTGACACAGGTTTTATAGTGCTTTATTCTGAACAGTAATTAGGTAAACGAGTACTGAACATATGCAGCAGGCAGTCTTTAGATAGAAGTGAAATCTGATTACCATAATCTCATGTGGAATTTGAAGACTAGTAATTACAATGTTAATTTCACTCAAGTTGAAGTCCTTATTTCTTTCTCATGCTTTAGACATTAAGTATCTGTAAGGAATTTCCTTAATGCTGAATCCAGAGCTAGAAATGGGAGATAATCTGGGCATGAAAAGTGTGGCACTTCCAGCATTAATCCAACTGTGTTCTATCCTTGATTTGCATAATGTTCTTTTCCTTAGGATATATACAACAAGGCTTCTCGTAGCTGCAGTGAAATTGTCCCATCTTCCATGTCTGAAGGGAATGAGTCAAAAAAGGCCACACAGCAGAGTTTAAACTCCTGGGAACTTCATGCTGAAGAGTCTTCTGGGGACACACACTGTCCCCATGATTTTTGCCTCTGGTGTCTATAGGCCTCAGTGTGGCTGCTGCTGCACAGGTGCAAATTCTGATGCCAGCATGAACTGTTGTAGATATGCTGCAGAACTTGTGCACTGCTTCACTGGGTGCTGGCAGGGTCTGGTCGGGCACCCTGGACCACCAGAGTGTGGCCAGCTTCAGGGGGAGAGCTCTCATACCACATGTCCATATTTCCCCTTTTAGGCATTAGGAATCCAGAGAGTGTGAGTCATGAGGGAGAGAGGTTTCACTAGGGAGCAGGAATGCAGCTCTTCCTCCTGGAGCCCTTTCCAGTGCCTGGGCTATCTTAAATCAGGCTCTCAGTTCACTTCATTTGGGGAAAAAAGGGTCACAGAGGAACAAAATGTTCTTGTTGCTGAAGCTGGGATACTTCTCAATAAAATATGGTGTGCTCTTCACAGTGGAAATTATTCCGCTAAAGGGGAGGAAACAAAAGGAGAGAAACTAGTTCTGCTGCATATGTAGAGTACATTGTATTACTCAGCCAATACATGAACCTCTTATATTTCCTGTCAAAGGTGATAATTGGGAAGAAAAGCCTTACAGGAGTGTGCATCACCACGAATGTAATTGTGCTTTTTTTGTAATGAATGTGCCCCGCTTAAGGAGAACAGAATCGGCCTGAAAGAATGACATTGCGAGTTTTGTTGTGTCTAAACAAAAAGATGAACGGATGGTCAGCTTTAAATTCATCTTTGTGTTGCAGAATCCGATACCCTGGTACCTCTCGGGAGTCGCCACCTTGTTCATTTACTTCCAAGGAGACCTTGTGGATGATCTTTGACACAACCACACCTTTTGTCTCACACATCTCAGAGAAATCTGATGCGCTTTCGTTGAAGATATTTGTCATTCCCAGGCTTTCCAGAAGTGGCTTTAGGTCATAGTCACCTTCCACACTAAACTTTGGAAGAAATACATTCACTTTGGTATTGGCCATCATGCTGGGATTCGTCCACTGTAATAATGTCTCAGGGGTCAGCGCCTTTTCCAGCTGAAGACAAAAATGAACAAAAGAAATTAGTCAGCAGTCCAAGGGATGTGAAAGGAGAAGACCATTCCTGAACTTCTCACTCCTATCAAGACTCCAAAAAATAAAGTCCAAAGACAATTTTTATTTTTGAATTCACAACCATAATATTCAGGCTTAACATACTCTCAGTTATATTGACTCAAGTATGATTTAATCCACAGGACAGGCCTCTGGAGCAGCTCTTCTGCATGTGCATGCTCTGGCAAGGTTTTGGTAAGCAATCACCTCGACAGCCATATGAAGGAACCAGAGGAAGACAGTCCCTACCCAGGTTACCCCTGGCCAACTGGCGGAGATCCAAAAGTCTTTATTCCTGACCCTGCAGAGTAATGAAATTGCTGGTATTTGGGACACAAAATCCAGATCTCAATCAAACATGCAGCTGTTCAAGCAATTTTTTTAAAACTGGAAAGGGAGGAGGCAGAATGTGGGGCCACAACAAATCACTTGCATTTTATGATAGGTGTGTTCTGTAATTTACTCCAACATATAAACATATATTACAGCTGCATAGACAGATTCTTCCTGCCTTTAAAATCTGTGGCCAGTTGCAGCAAATTACAAAGGAGACATGAGTGATCATCAGTCTTTTAATCCTTAAATAAATTTTAATTAATAACTATTAATTAATATTATTCATTACTTAGTCCTTAATAAACCTTTGAAGAGGGGTGGAAATATATAGTAAAATTTTCATAGAAAAATGACATAAGAAATTGTTGATCTTAAGGAAATGCCTTATTACATTTATGTGCAATTGTAATAAAAAACGGCTCATTTGCAGACACCTCTGCTCAAAATTAAAACTCAGAGAAGAGTAAGACCTCAGTAAAATAAATCATGGACACGTGTTTTTCAATTGAAAAACAATAAGGAAATAACCAGAAATAAGGGCACCTTCTCCACTTTACACTGTCTTCTGTGCACTCCCTATCTAGAACAAAGCCTCATTTACAACCCCACAACTGGACACAGTGAAAACAATGCCACAAATATGAGAGGAGGAACAGAGAAGCAGAATGAGATGGTAAATTCACAAGTTACTTTTCATTTTCTCATTACTTCTAAAGCCTTCCACAAACATATGGCATTATATGGGCTGTTTCCAAGGGAAATATCATAGCAATTCTCCTTTTCTCTCTCACCTTCTCCAAGCCAGTGGTCTCATCTTCAATCTCTTTGGGCAGGAGAATGAGCATGCTTATATGTTTGTTAAGGCATGGGAGCTCAAGGATGGCAACATTTAAATCTTTTACATAGCCCAGGCAAAAAGTAGCTTCCAGATTCATCATCTGCACTGGCTTCGTTTCAGTCTGCAAAACGTAAGAGGAAACAATCAATCATTCCTTTTAATGCACAGGTAAGATGGTGACAGAGGAAATTTTGTAAGCTTGCATGGAAGGGATACATTGAGTTACCACCAGAGAATTTGTTGGCTTTCATAGGTAACAAAAGCAGCAGTGAGAGACTCTCTTGGCTTTTTATAGTAGGCAGCTTTCCAAAGCAGAACAGAATTCTACTTAATACAATAGCAACATACAGGGGATGTGCCTTAAAAATTAAATTTATCTAATATTGGTGGCCTTTCATGCCTTTTCACTGAATTCTACCAGCTACACTGTCTACAGGGCATTGTAATACTAGCAAGTGTCAAGCACTGAGCACAGCTCAACAGTGAAGGTGAAGCTGTTCATACCAATAATTGATATTTTGGTTCAGGAGTTGAAACAGAATCAGAAGTGATTTCAGCCTTACCTAAATCTCTAAGTTTTGCTTTTGAATGAAATTAAACAGAACAAAACAAACAAAATAGTTGATTTCATAGGGAAGATTTTTAAACTGATCTGTTTATGAAAATGTTCAAAATTCAAATTCAGTAGGAAAATGTTACTTTAGGGAAGAAGAAAAATCTTGAGAAGTTTCACTTAAAAATTTTAGTGTTGATTGTGTGATTTTAAAAACTTTTCTAGCTGGAACTATTGGCTGATGAGGTAATTTCTGAATATTTTCAGTGAACCTGAAACTCCGACTTTGCTTATGCATCTCTATACGTGTGTGTGTGTATATTTGGAATATAATCTCTTTATCTCACAAATGTTGTTCAGCTTTGTCTCTTGGCTGTAAGTTGTCTGATTACAGTATTCATCACTGGTCACAGATTCCTGAATGCTGCAGCCACAGGTGCTGCTCTCACTTGGACCTCATGGCTAAGCAGGACTGACGTGCAGAGGGCTGCAGTCCTGAGCCTGACTGGAAAGGGGGAGACTGATGGGATGACATCTCTGAAGAGGAAAACACAAGGCCAGGAACCTAAGGGATGTACTCAGGGAGGTGACATGATTGTACACATTTCATCAACTCAAGAAATGCAATGTGCTTCACCTCTGCTGGTTTTTGGACACAGCCTCTGGTACTTGCAATCTTCCAATCTCTTGGAAAAAGCTACCCATGAGAATTTGCGTCACCTTGCAGACAATGGCTGCTTCTGACCACTTGTACTCAGCTCATGTTGTCTAA